CCACCTCCCTTCAGAAAACAGGATGAAGCATCTTCTGCCAGCTCCAGGCAACCTCCTTAGCAAATCCACTGCCCCAAGTCGCTTCATCCTGACTGGATGGTAGCTGGGTTCTAATGACCCACCATTGGGTCTGGTGGACATGTGGCGCAAAGTGATGGAAACACAGCAACAGAGGGGCATTCATGATACAGCAGTTTTCACAGTAACTACTTTGCCATAGCAACCAGAACTCATAAGTCATAAACAGGTTCCATAAATCATCCCCAAGACTCCTGCTTCCCTATGAGCACCCAGGGGGGCAGGTGGGAGATGCAGCACACACTGCACTGGTTTGCAGTGAACATAAAGAGCACTCTCTGAGGCATTCCCTCTGCGTGCCTCCCCCAGGGAACCACCACTGAGGGAGTCCCCATGCTCACCACCATTCAATGGATCAAGAGCTCAATTTGGACCCTGGCTAGGCAACCGCCCTGTTAACATCTGGGCTCGCCTCTCACACAGAAAGGGCTGCTGCTCACTCCCAGGCCAGACCTACCAACCTTATTTCCTCTTCTGCCCCTGCAAGAAGGCTAGTTTGATTTCTCTGCTAAATGTGGCTAAGACGTGCAGTTAGTGACTCTGGGGTTAGTGACTCTGGAGGAATCTCATGAATAAGGACTTTAGGGGGAAAGATAAACTGACATAAGCCAGGCTCTTTCTGAGTCACTTGCAGGCCCTTCTTCTGGGAACACTTAGGGAAAGCAGGCTGCCTTCGAGAACAGGCTGGGAGGAGCGGGGTGGTGAGGGAAGAAGCTGTCCCTTGTGAAATGCCGGATCACTTCACTGCTGCTACTGAAAAACGGTTCCCATTTTCACTCCAAAGTGCTCCCACGGGAACAAAGGCTGCGTGTTCTCAATCTCAACACTGTTAAAAGGCCTGTGTTTCCGGCTGCAGCGCTCTGCACTGGGGGGCTGGTATACGAGTGTCTGAGCAACTGTTAAAGGAAGTCTCCTTTATTTGACTGTGACTTAATGGAGGAGAAAAGGTCTGACTCCATTACAAACACCTGACTCAGTAAGCACTGAAATCAGAACACTGTTTGCTTGTGACTTTTCGTTGTATCTCAGGAGTCACGACTTAAAGAGATCATCATCTAGTAAATGAATATGCCCAGCTAGAACCTAGTGGGTTTTCTCAGCAGCACCATTCTGGTTGAATTAGGAGTTCTTTTGGGACAATAGCCAGAGATGCAATTTAGAAAACATAGCTTTACAACCGGAGCTAGTTACTATGGTGCCATCAAGCCCTCCACTAAATTAGACAATCTTTGCTCAATGGGCTAAATTCCTCCATCTGCTAACAGGAGCAAGGAGTGTCAGTACCCCCAAAGGAGCAGGGAAGATGGTTCAGCAGCATCTACGTCCCCTGGAGCACCTTCCACAGGACTTGGGCTCTAGGGATAATAGGGCTGGATCTAGAGGGGGTGGAGTAGCACAACAGTTGTTCTTTAGATCATGTTCCATGCCAGAGCCTGCAGCTATCCAACTGCAGATCTGAGTAGGGGATAAAGCTGCTCTAAGCAAGATTAACTTCCAGTAGATTCTACTGTGCAGCTGGAAGGGGAGGTGGCTGGTACAGCATAACTCCTAGATGATGGGGGTGGCTTCTGAAGATGTACAGATGCCTATTGCACCTCAGGTCACCCGTTCATTTGAGGCCAAACCCCTGCACATTTAGCAGGGATGGGGAAAAACATCAGAGGTCATAGCCCCCTACCTTGATTTTTCCCAGATGGGGAGAATCTGGGCCTGTGTAAAGATTGTGAGACTACAGCTGACAATTATATATGTCTGCAAGACTGGTCATGCTGTGGGTGAGGTGAGACAGTCTGTACATTGTGGGTGGAGCAGGGCTGTAATACACTGGACAAGGAGGGACGGTCCATACATTGTGGGGTGGGGCAGAATGGGAGGGTGTTGCGGGGCTGTCTGTACACTATGGGCGAGGCAGGGCTGTACATACATGTGGGAAGCAGCTTCTCTCTACAAGGGGCAGGGTGCAGACAATTGTTCATTTCTTCCTATTTTCATTTGCAGGCACAAATATGAATTTTTGCACAGTGGGACAACACCAGACATTAGGATTACAATTCCCCCCAAGAGGATTGGCATCCTGCTGGACTATGACAACTGGAAACTGTCTTTTTTTAATCTGGATATTGCACAGCACCTTTATACATTCAACAGTCACTTCCAGCATTACGTGCACCCCTGTTTTGCTTTAGAAAAACCTGGGTTCCTAAGGATACGTAATGGCATTGCAATGCCCACATCTATTACTCTTTTATGATCTATGGCTTGAGTGGCAGCTGCTGAAAATGGCACATCTGTGTGTAACAAATTGACAAAAGCCCTATATCATAATCACTTTCTCCCTTTTAAGTACACACCATTTATGCTTCAGCAAATAATTAAAGGCCCACTACTGCATGCAGAACGCCTATGGAAGGCACCATCAGCTGAAGGCTTGCAGGATCAAGCCCGCAGACTGCTATATTTGTCCTATGTCATTCAGAGGCTTCATAAGCTCAGAAAGTTTCTCACCTTGCTGGAGGTGGACAGGCTCATGCTACCACACTAAAAAAAGCAGTATGGACACTGTGGATTGGGCTGGAGCCCACCCTCTCAGGTCTAGGTAACAGGAATATTTCTACCTGAGCTAGGAGCTCAATCCCACCTGTAGTGTAGACATTCACAAGCTTATAAGGGTATGTTCACAGAAAGAAAGGAAATAACTCCAGGGATTGAGATCCTGGGAAATGAAAGTCTCTTCCTTTTAGGGCATTGGTTTGAATCCAGCCCAAGCTAATAGGGACAAGCAGTTTGGTCAATGGGAAATTAGGCAGTAGGGTCAGCTCTGTTCTTAGTGGAGAGGAATTCAGATCACAAGAGCCATCACACTTAGCTCCATTGTCAGCAATCTCCAGAGAGGGCCAGGTCCAAACAGGTATGGAGATTTACCTTCCTTGTCCTTTCCAGAGGTGATCGCATCAGCTGAGGTTTGACACACAGAGGGGACATTTGAGTTGGGAGGTGTGATTCCCTACCCATGCTTCAGAGTAGCAGCCGTGTTAGTCTGTATCCGCAAAAAGAACAGGAGTACTTGTGGCACCGCCTGGTCTACACTGGGGGAGGGGGGAAAATCGAGCTAAGATACGCAACTTCAGGTACGAGAATAGCGTAGCTGAAGTCGACGTATCTTAGATCGAATTAAAATTACTTACTTCGTGTCCTTGCGGCGCTGGATCGACGGCCGCGGCTCCCCCATCGACTTTGCTTCCGCCTCTCGCACTGCTGGAGTTCAGCAGTCGATGGGAGAGTGATTGGGGATCGATTTATCGTGTCTACACTACACGCGATAAATCGATCCCCAATAGATCGATCGCTACGGCGGGTAGTGTAGACGTAGCCTTAGAGACTAACAAATTTATTTGAGCATAAGCATTCGTGGGCGACAGCTCACTTCATCGGATGCACAGAATGGAACACATAGTAAGGAGATTATATATACATACACATACACATATACATATACATATACACACACAGAGAACATGAAAAGGTGGGAGTTGCTCTACCAACTCTAAAAGGCTAATTAATTAAAATGAGCAATTATCAACAGGAGAAAAAAAACTTTTGTAGTGAGAATGACAAGAAGGTGTGAAGATACTTAACATGGAGAAATAGATTCAATGTGTGTAATGGCTCAGCCATTCCTAGTCTCTATTCAAGCCTAAATTGATGGTATCTAGTTTGCATATTAATTCAAGTTCAGCAGTTTCTCGTTGGAGTCTGTTTTTGAAGCTTTTCTGTTGCAAGATTGCCACCTTTAAGTCTGTTACTGCATAACCAGAGAGGTTCCATTCTATGCATCCGATGAAGTGGGCTGTAGCCCACGAAAGCTTATGCTCAAATAAATTTGTTAGTCTCTAAGGTCCTAAGTACTCCTACCCATGCTACCTCACTAAAATGTAGGCATGTAGCCGGGGTAGCACAGGCGGTGACTCAGGCTTGGCACCCAAGTACATACCCGCCCAGATGGCCTGGGTATGTCGTGAGGTGGCTAGCCTGAGGCACCATCCATGCTACCCCCGCTACATCTATGCATGCTGGGAATCATACCTCCCAGCTCAAATGTAGAGGTACCCAGAGTGAGGATGGCAGTCTGCATTGCTTTTATGCACAAGGAACTCCAGTATCTTTTGACGATTATTTCTTACACAAAAGCAAGTGATTTCTATTCTTGTTTATGTTCGACAAAGAGCTAGGAATGAGCTGTACAAAGATGACCAGAAAAGCAAAGGGCTTAATCACCACACAGTTGTCAGATGAAGCCAAACATGCTCATAATTTACACAAATACCATAAAGCTAATCTTAAAGTATTTTGCAGCTGCATGAAGTCTATGAAACAAGATAATCAGATACGCCTCACTCTCACATGAATCATCAGCTTTTGCCATTAAGTGAGGCCTTGGAAATAATCAACCATGCATTATACGCTCAGTCATTAAAGACATTTTATAAAATGCCCATGCTTCGCATTCAGTTTTTCAGCAAAACTGCAGACTAGGCTCTTCATGGCACTATGCTGCCTGCAAATAAAAGCCGCAGGCATCATTTTTAGCATGCACTACTTAGCCACACTTACGCCCTTAAATGCCAACTGTACTGCCACTCTCAAATCTATTCACACACACCTCACGACTGCAGCAAGGGGGAATAGAATCGAGGAGCTTGTCTTTGATGCTGTGCCCTTGGCGTGAGGGCTCACCAACCCAGGTTTGAAGTACTCTGACCCAACATTTGATTTCAGTTGCAATTTATTTGTTTGGACTTCACTTAGGAATAACTCTAAGGTACTGGAAGGCTTGCCATATTCCAGCTGTCAAGCCTGGAGAGATTCCGGCTTTAGGTAGCTTCACAAGTGCATCAAAACTATTTACATGAAATCAAGAATAATTAGCTGAATGCAGTAATGCAGATTTATTTAGGATTCATATTACAAAATAATTGGTACGGCTTTACATACTAGAGGATGCTCCAAGAATGAACCAAGTCTGCAAAATGCACATTCCATAGGAATAAACACAGGCCTTGAAAAACCAGTTACCAGCATTACAGGAGTAAGAAACAATTGAGGTGGGTGCAGACAATTTAAAAGATGAAGGCAATGACTGCTGCTAGCTCCTCTCTGAAGATGTCTGGCAATACTAATCTATCGAGGTACGGCATCACTTTTTAGAGTTTATCCTAGCAACAATCCACAGATTCTAAGGTCAGAAGGGACCATTGTAATCATCTAATCTGACTTCCTGTCTAACACAGGCCGGAGAGTTTCACCCAGTAATTCTGGCACTGACCCAAATAACTTGCAGTTGGCCAAGAGCACGTATTTTAAAAAGATGTCAAGGTCCAGATTCTTAGCTGGTGCAAACTGTCTTAGCTCCATTGACGTCAGAGCTATGACAATTTACACCAGCTAAGAATCTGTCCCTTAAATCTTGATTTAAAGACTTCAAGTGATGGGGTCTCCATCACATCCCTTGGTAAGTTGTTCCAATAGCTAATTACCCTTACTTAAAAATATGTGCATCATTTCCAGTTTGAATTTGACCAGCTTCAACTTCCAGCCATTGGACCTTGTTATGCTCCTATCTGCCAAATTAAAGAGTCCTCTACAATCAGACATCTTCTCCCATGTTGAAGGAAAAACTAATCAAAATCTGGAAGGAGAAAAACAAAACAAAAAGACAACATAAGAGCAGTATTAAGATGACTGAGTAACCTTCTGAGGAGGCAACGTTAACCATATCACTTAAGGTCGAAGGGGAAGAAGCTTTCCCAAAATAGGCCTATTAAATGACTGCTGGCTTCCATCCAGACACAGGTGTTCTCCTTGACCTAGGCTCGAATGATGCCACTCACCACTAACAGCGTTACATCCTAAAGAGTCTTTCATCCATATCTATATTCTTGCACCATCTGCGTATTCTTTAGTCCAGAACATATTCCAGCTGGTAAGCAGTCATCAGAGTCCATAGCACTTCCCCACCTCCCTGGGATGCAGTGAGGATACATCGTTGTGAGGGGCTCAGATGGCTCTGACAATGGGGGCTTGTGGAAGTACCGTACCTAGGTCATTGTGTTGCTTGCTTTATGACTGCTGGACGGAGCAAGCCGGGTGGTTTACTACTGAATTGGGTGCAGAGCACAATAGGATTCTGTGTTCACTATAGGGGATGGCACATGACTGGCAAAGACAGCCACAGAAACATCTGAAAAAGAACAAATACACAACAATTAGCTACCAGGTTACAAACGATAGAAGAAATGAGCTTGCCGAGTTTTGCTTAATAAAAACGTCACTGGCTGGCTGTAGCCCAAGCATCTTTCTAGGGAATCCAAAGCTTGTTGCTTGCTTAAATATTTATAAAGCAGAAGAGGCACAAGCAACCTGAGTTTTTTAAAACCAGCTGTCACTATGAGTAATCTTTAAACCCAACCCTCAGTATTTAAGACACCATTTCCATTACAAGATCTATTGAGCCGTAGGAAGTTACATCAGCCCAGAGTTTTTGCACATGTGCTCACTGTAGAAGAGAAAGTTCAGTGCATCTTTACACAAGATAACGAGGGCCCACCCCCCTACAGACTGAAACCTGCATTTGAAAATAATGGATGAGGTTCCTACTGGAGCTAGAATGGGTTTTTACTTGTTGGTCTGCTGTGGGGCTGCCATGGTTAACAACACTGCCATATGGGTTTATTTGATAGAAGAATGGTATTGTTAGAACATTTGCTTAATTATTGATTTAAGTGCCTGAGCCATTCCTTTGGGCAGGAAGATTTGAATGAAGCAAAACCAATTCTCCCCTCTGGACTGGCTAATGAAAATTTGGCTCACTGTCAGAGTAGCCCATGTAAAAGGACAGCAGCAAATTTAAAACAAGCCACGCTTCTCTCTGAAAATGGCTTGCTCACTTCTGTTACACCACCACCCAAGACTAATATCTCCTGAGCTCCGTCGGTATTTTCTTTATGTCCTCAGTTTACTCTGTGCATTTGACAGCACAAAACCAAATTCCTCCTCACACAAGCGCAGCACTGTGCCCTTCCTGTTTAGGGGATGATGCAGGCCCCCTGCATAGGCTAGGCTCAACTTACATTCCCGGTAATATAGCAGGAAGGAATTGCCAGAGCATACGACCACCCCAGCTCTTCTCACCTCTGGCTTGCCCCAGATCCACCCCAGAATGTCCCTGGACTGGGAACTTCTTCCAGGAAAGCCCAGAGGCTCCTGTGCTGGTGCTGTTTATCAGGGGCAAGAGGTACAGCCCCTTTGGGCAAACACAGCTGCTGCAAAAGACTGTAAGACAACACTGACGGTGACCCTTTGTGGCTATGTCACTGTATACTCAGCTTCCCCTTTTGGTTCATGAGGGGGTCTCTGCAGAGCAAGAGGGGAGGAAAAAACCCATTTTGATAAGCAGGAAAATGATGGTAAGGCCACAAACCCTGGCAGGAGGCTGAGAAGCAGGGATAATACCCAAGCCAGTCCTTTATTCTTTAATTGACTAGATTACAAGCTTCTTGTAATTGCTAAAGAGCACGCTGGATTCATTCTCTCTTTAAATGCTATAAATGCTCTGTTGAGCACATGACTCTTTCTGTGCTGGTATTTGGGCAAAATCTGTGTTAGGATTTTAAGAGAATGTCAAAATAATTTTTACTTTTTAGATTTTTCTTCACTGTTCTTCACAGGGATATTTTACTCTATTACTCTAGAATGACAAGGATGTGAACAACAATATGGGATCAGGTTACTGAGAACGCATATGGATAACCAACAGATGGAGGGGGAATCTCTTTTCTAAAAATCTATCCCCTGAAGTGGCTCAATTTTTTTTTCTAATAGCGCCTCCTCATCATTGTAATGTGAATACTTCACGCATATTAACGAATTTACCCTCAAACTACCGTCCATGGTAAGGAAAGACCAACCCCATTTTGCAGATGGGAAAACCGAGACACACAGAGGTCCTAGGCACTACAATAATACAAATAATAATAATAAGTTCCAGCATCATACAGGGAGTCTATGGCAGAGCAGGGGATTGAATCCAGATCTCATGAATCTCAGAACAGTGCCTTAACTGCAAGAGTCTCCTTCCTCCCTGATCAAACACACTAAGGCACTAGGTATTTTTGCCACCAATGGTACCAAATATCTATAGTAACTGTTGTCCACTGATAATTCAAAGCACCAGTACACAGTGTCACCACTTGAGGGCATCAAATGATGCTGTTTTAAAAGACTGCATTTTGTGGATACGCAGCATGAATCTACCAGCTGCAGAGCTGACAAGTCCAAGAGACAGTCACTAAGCAAGGGCCACTAAGGAAACACAATTACAGCTTGCATCTGGTTAACATAATCTTTTTTCCCATCCCATTTCTATCACCATGCAGTCAGAAGAGGAGCCTGGAATGAAGAGTTCTAGGATGCTACAAGCAAACAAATCCAGGTTACACAAGATACAAAAGGCCAATAGTGTGAATTTAACAACATGTGATGTGACAGGCTTAAAACACAATGCCACCAGTGAGAAGGGTTGAAAGATAAATGGAATTTTAAAATTCCTTCCGTTTTAACAAGATAATTACTTCTTACAGACTCACACAAGGGCATTTTCTTTACAATACTTGATTTTTAACTTGGCAGCATCCCTTTAACTGCCATAAGAATTTCCAAAACAAAGTGAACAGTGACTGTTGGTAGCTTAAGTAGGTCCTGACTCCATCTCAGAGACAGGCCCTGTTCTTCTACCGTTTGATTTAGGAGGATAGTATCAGTAGAGTCAATTTGACTTCACTGGCTCTACTTTCTTAGTCCTCCAAGTGAACATCAGTAAGAAACTCCTCATAGCAGATCCAGGAATTGAATCCAGCTCTCCTGCATCAGAGTCCAGTGCCGTAACTCACTTGGCTTCCTCACTCCCCTTGGGAGCAGTTGCTTAACCCTCCTTTTTTCTATTAAAGGATTAATAGGTTTGAAGCCCATAGGCATTTTTATACTCACCCTATTTTAGGCACTTGATCAATAATGTTTAGCACTGATAACCATATTACAGTATTATGCTTTGGAGATACATATTAAAACAGATCTAAAATGTGCAGAAGGCACCACAGTAATGGAACAAACTCTTATTTAATATTCAGATTTAACCCATAGTCTGCATCCCACTGAGAGCTGACCACATAATTTTCACTGGTTTCAAGGTCATTGGAGAGGCCCTGTCTACACAGAAGTTTCTGCCCTCTTACAGCTGCATTAACACTAGCGTAGCTCCAATGGTGCTAGAAAGAGTGTACATAGGGCTCAGGTGTTTTCTCCACTGCATCACCAACACATGCTGTAGGAGTTACAGCCATGGTTATGGTGGTGAAAACACCACTGGCCAGTTTATACTAGTGCACTGCATTGCTACCACGAGTGGAGCTGGAATGGAGCTAGTCCTATAGCATGAGAGTTTCACAAAAACCTGTGTAGACACAAGGCTTAGTCTTAGTGTGAACTGTAAAATCTGAGACGGTGCAGTGACAGCTGCATGGACACCAAGCCAGTCTGAGCTTCCCCTTGACACAGCTTTGGTCTTTATGAGTGCTTCTCAGGACCAATGCACCCCCAACAGCAAGAACCCAGTAGACAACATGAAGAATGATTGGCTCCTGCAGTGCTTACCTTTCCAATTTGAGAAAACACTGAGGTTAGAGAAGCTTCTATGCTAGCTGGCAAGGGGCCCAGTGAAGCCACTGCTGGAAGCAATGCAGGGGCACTGAAGTGACAGAAGGGATTTCTCCAGTGTGTCTACAAGTCATGCTGGCAGATCCCATCAATTGATGCACCTAGAATGAATGTATACAATGAAGACAAACAGTTACAAATAAGAAGGTATTCTGAGTCTCAAACTTAATCACACACAGCCCCTTTACCACACAAGAGGGTGCTAGAGACTGAGCAGCAGTCACCATCTGCCTCGAGGGCTAGCTAAATGCAGTTTTATTGCTGTTAAAAGGTCAAACCTTTAAGCACAATTAATTTTACTTACAAAGCATGGTTCTTTTTCAAACTCTTCTTCTATGGTGGTAGATCGCCAGGTGCAGAATTGCTGGGGTGCAGGCCCCATCCATGCCTCTTCCTTCCTCTAATCTGTCCATAATTCACTTCTGCCTTGGAACATCCCTTGTGCCCAGGGTTGCTGTGGAGGCAGCACAAAGCTGATGGTGCTGGCTCTGCACCAGCACAGGGGCACCTGCACAGAGGATATTCCCTGGGCGACCCCTTATGGCATTTCCATTGCAACATCAATGGAGAGAGCCCAGAATTTTTACTCTGTTGCTGTGTGCCTGACATTATTTTCCGGTGGACCTTCCCCAGGTGACAGAAGTTGCTCGGCAGAAGATTCAAGGCTGCTTCTCATCATCACCATCTTTAAGGTCATTTTATTTCTGGCCAGTTTCAGTCATGCCTAAGAAAAACATACACTTTTTATGTTGGTTTTTGATAGAAAGAAGTTAAAAAAAAATCTTGGCCAAATTTATTTTTCCTTGTTCCAAGATAAGGCAGTAATTACTGCAATGATCCTCTCTGTACCTTACTGCACTATTAATTTTCTACTAAAATTAGCACAAAATGTTTCCTATGATCAGTTTATGTCCATGTTGCTGAGCCTATCACCACAATTAAACCCACTCCATGCTTGATAAATCCTACATATTTTTGTTATGGATAGGCCATCATGTGGACAAAGAGATCATGCCAACTCTGCAGAGTTAAGGCAGAAGCTCTTGGGACATAAGGTAACATTTTCTGTGACTTAGGAGCCTAAGTCTTACTGAAAGTCAATGAGACTCAAGTTCCTAAATGACATCTGAAAATAGGAATTAGGCACCTAAATCACTTAAGCACTTATCAAAATTATACTCTTTGGCTGGAACACACAATTCCTTAAACATGCACCTTTAATAGCACAAACAGAACTACCTATTAGAATATAGATGTGCCTATGCATGCTAGATAGCCATACACTGGCATTATCAGACTTGTGGTGAAGTCTTTTCATTGACTATTTCAAAATTTAAAAAATCCCCCCCACATTTCTGGTTGTGTGCATAACTTAATTCAAACCCTAACTCAAGAGAGTGTCAGCCTTTGTAATCTGTAATCTGCAGCCAGACTGACTCAAACAGTAACACAGATTCTCACTTTCACACCGCACTTTTCACTGAGATTCCAGGCTTGTCTCTCCAGGAGTCACAGTCCAGGAGGCCCCCAGAATTCTGAGCTGCTATACCAGTGCACCCACCTTTACTATGTCCAGCGTCCAATGATGGGACATTCTAGGGGAAAAAACCCTAGCAAAGACAAGGCCTGTGTGTCACTGTGAAACTAAGAGCACGTACCAAAAAGAGACAGACAAGACCCCATGAAAGCGGCACACAGAATTGCCACAATCGAGGTAGATTTCCCATCTCCTTAGGAATTATCTACACCTTCAAATGAACCATTTCAAGGGACCACCTCATGCAATATTGCTCTGACCTCTGCTAGAACCCAACACAAGCAAGTTATAAGCGTGCTACTGAACCATGTGCAGCCACGTGAGGGCCAGGCTGAAACACGCCACTCCCATGGCGACCACACAAGGCCAGAAGTTCCTGTTACACCACGGCCGAGCTGGAGCGGTCAGGGTGCTCCGCCAGCCGGCGGCGGCGGCGGCCTCCTCGCTCATACAGCGAAGGGGCCGCTGCTCTCCAGGGGATAAAATACCAGCGACCTAAAGCCCAGCACTTGCTAGGCCAAAAATAAATCCCTGCCCAGAGGTGGGGCCACCCTTTCACCCCCATCGGGGTCTATCTCCGGGGCAGCCTCCCAGCCGGCCCCTTCCTCCCCGTACCTAGATCCCGCCCGGCCTCGGGCCTGTGCCGAGCTGCGGGAGCCTGGGGCCCGAGGCGAGGCCTTGGGGCAGCTGCTTAGCCGCCCGCGGGGCTGCGCAGAGCGGGAAGCCCCGGGCTTAGCCTCGGCCGGCCGGGGGGGGTCCCGAGCCATCGGCATCGCCACGGGCGCCCAGCGGGGCTGTCCCGCTCGCGGCTCCTGGGCCGGGGCGGAGCCACTCAGCACCAGAGCCGGGAGCCGCTGGCGGGAGAAGGGCCGCGGGGGCACTTACAGCGCCCGGCTCCGCTCGCTCTCCCACACGCGGCCGGTTGCAAAGGCGCCGCCCGCTGCAGCGACTTCCTGCTTCCGCCCGCCGGGCCTAGCGCGCTGGGGCCCGGCCCTCGCGTAGCCACCGGGCAGCCGCCTCCCTCCAGCAGCGGCGGAGGCGGAGCCCAGGTGGGAGCTGCACGCGGCTGCTCCCCGGGGGTGGGGGGAATGCACCAGAGCCTTGACTCGGTGTGAGCCATTCCCCACCCCTGCGTGCAACGGCCTGGCCCGCCAAGCTGCGACTGACACTCGGGAAGGGAGATTGGGACCGTCCTATTGAAATCCCTTGCAAGAGCCTGTTTGCCGAAGGACTAGGACCTGTGGGAATTTTGTCCCTAACCCCCCTAGGGCTGATACAGCGTGCAGGGCATGGGGTGGGGTGGCTCCTTAGCTATGATCCCGGTTGCCGGTTTTGGGGGAAGTTGTTTTGTTGGTTTTAAACACAGTTGTAATTTTTAAAAGTGTATCTTTTTCGGGGTTGTGTTAGGGTTAGGTATAAATCGCTATAAATGCATACACCGCCGCCAAGATTTTTCAACTTGAGTGTCTCAAGACTTTTTCAAAGGTGCTGACCACACTCAGCTGAGATTAACTTCCAGGGGAACTGTGCATATGCAGCCCTTTGAAAAACAGGCCCTTGGTCTAGATTCCTCAGACCCTGATCCTACAAACCCCCCAAACACCCATGTTTAACTTTATGCAAGTGCAAAATAAACAGGCTACAGGAGACTTAAATATAGATGTAGGGCACATTTTTCAAAAAGTACACCTCTACCCCGCTATAACGCTGTCCTCAGGAGCCAAAAAATCTTATCGTGTTCTAGGTGAAACTGTCTTATAGCGAACTTGCTTTGATCCACCGGAGTGTGCAGGCCCCCCCGAGCACTGCTTTACTGCATTGTATCTGAATTTGTGTTATATCGGGTCACGTTATATTGGGGTAGAGGTGTACCTAGTGATTTTGGATGCTACAATTATGGGCACCCAGCTTGAACTACATGGGACTTGCTTCTTAGAGAAAGTGCTATGGACCCACCCTCTGCAAATCGGGATCTTTTGAGGTGTTTCAGGTTGGGCACCCAACATCACTAGCCACCTTTGAAAATGTTGGCCTGGGAGCCTTGTTTTCGGTACCCAGGTGTTGGGGTTACTAGGCCTGCCTGAGCCAGAGTTCTTCCATGTTTAAACTCTGTCCTTCCATGTTTAACTCTAATCGACCTTAACAACCAAGGACAGGAATTGGAATATGTAAATAGCCAGTTAGCAATTACGACCTTGTTCATTTCAGGTGCCAAACAATAATGATGAGGTTTGCATGTTTCTAGCTGGGGAAGGGGTAATAAACTAAGGGTAAACAGGACCAAATAACTGTTTAGGGAGAAGTTACTAACAAGCTAGATTTATAGCCCTAGAATGATTTAGTTGCTTAAATGTATAAACCTGCCTTCGGTAAAGAGGGGAGAGGGAGTAGGGGGGGCGGGAGAGAGGGGGGCTTAGTTGTAAAGTGTATAAAGAAGAGAGAAACTGTTTTTGCTGGTGTGCTTGATTTGAGACTTGCCTGTCTCCTTGCACCACTTTGAGATCTCAAATAAACTTTGATTGTTTCTCCCCCCCGGTATGTTTATTGGCGTGAAGCACTCCGGGCAACGAACCTCACTGTTGCTGTCCTCGGGCCCCTGTGCCGGCAACACAGGTTTGAAATTTTTGCCCTAAATAAATAGAGCTGGGTGGGATGGACAGTGATGGACAGCAGTAGCTGAAGCTGGGTAGCTAGATAGTTGTAGTTCTCACCTTTGCTGCTGCTGCAGTTTGTCTGGCCAGGCTGCAATACCAGGGCAAAGGTAGAACAGTTTACCCTGAGCATTTGATTAAACTTCATCCAGGAGCTTAGATTTTGTCAGAAGAGCCTACCTTTTTGGCAGCCACAATTTTCTCATGTGATTCTTCTGGTGTTTTAGCCTTTTGTCCACAAACCTCACGGGGGCTTAACAGTAGTTAATGAGCTCCTGTCATGGGAAGGAACATTACAACTGCTGCTCACATGCATTTTCAGAGAAAGGAGTCCGTACAGCCCCATAACTAAAGTAAAACATTCCCCAAGACAGGATAATTATACATTTCATGCTGATTCTCAATGGTGGCACCGGCACTAGGTTTCTGATAAGCATCTGCTTAGACCTCACTCCTTCCTCCCTTTATCACATTCTGTGGGAGGCTGCCAGAGCCCACGTAACAAATTGCTACTGTTCAAACACACCAGAACCAGTAATTAGAAAAGTTGATGTACAGTGGAGCACAACGGCAATCTCTCACTGCAAAGGAAGAGGCAGCTAACTTTAGAATTTGGAGAAAGCCAAAGGGCAGTCACACAGACAGTTCGTCAAGGATAGTGCAGGCTCAAGCAGAGAGGGGAGTATGAGCTAGACAAATCCAGACTCTTATTTCTAGGGCCTACATTAGTTTCAAAGATACATTTTCTTGAGAAGTGATTTTGATAGGGCCCAGAGGCTCAGCTGGTAGGTGGGCAGTGAAGTTTGGAGAAGGGAGCTAAGCCTATTTAGACCAGCTGAGGATCTGGCCTCTCTCATTGTTTTGACTCTTACTTACTTTTTGCACAAATGTTCCTTCTTTCCCTCAAATGTCACCATCTTCTGGGTGTCCCTTGAGCTTTGCCTCTTGGGCCTTCTGTTCTTCTTTTCCTTTTTATAGTTAGGGCTGGAGCCTGCAAAGATTTAAGCAGATAACTTTTTGGTCTCTGGCAACTGCATTGCTTCCGCACTCACTCCGTGGACTGGGCCCAGCACTGGCACATAGATGAATGAGAGCCAGAGAACTTGGAGAATCAAGAGGGTTTGAAGCAGTAAAGTCATTCTCAAAAGCATTTGAAGCAGAGCTGGTGGAGTTTCTGATCTTCGTTTCCCTGGCAGGCCTAGCTTTTCATTGCTCCAAAACCAGTAACTACAGCCTCCAAGACTGCTGACAGTTTCAGGTGGACTGGGTGCTAAAGACCATTTTGATTTTGTTTTTAAACTTTGGGTAATTTCTCTTATGTGAATACACCCACAAATCTTTCTTTTCAAGATACATTTACATCCCTAGAGAATAATCCCCTTATTATATTTACAGTATTTTTTTGGTCATAAAATTGCAGAGGGTCACTTTAAATCTTTGTTCTGATGCTGAACTGCAAGTAGACTGCAGTAGTAAATCCATTCATATATTTCATGATTTCCTATGTAATAAAACTCTTGTTCAAATAAATGTGTCCCATAAGCATTGTGCTTGTCTATTTATAGTCTGGATGTGTAAAACTTTCTTTTAGTGGGGGGTAGTAGCAGATCTGCTCTTCCCAGTTCGCCTATGCTGTTTTATTCTGCCACCATCTCCAGTAAGTTTTACTTTGAAATCCGCTGGGCAGTGCAGAGCCAACTGAAGCAAACAGTGAAAGGGAGGAGGGCGTAGTGCTTGGATAAATCAGCACAGAATGAGCCTAGTCTTCACTAGCTGGCCCGGCTGGGAGTATGGGTTAGAAGCCCAGTTCTGCTTTCATTTGGGCTAGTAACTTGCCCACTTTGGAGTGAGTGAAATCACTTGAGTGCTGATAGTCCTTCAGAGTCTTCCCACAATTCCCTGTGTGCCCAGAGGGGAATCATAGGGCAGGTCATCTTACTGAGCACAGAGAACTATGGGATATACCCCATGAAGTCCTACTGACACACAGAGGTGAGTGCAGCACCAGTGTGGACAGAGTAACTTCAGTGAGCTAGGCTAACTTAGGTTCTCAGACCCTGGTGCCAATTGCCCCGGTCCCTGGTATGAGCAAATTGGACCTGCAGAAAAGGAGAGTTGGTCATCAGCCTTCTGGAAAATGACTATTGCTCCAAATGCTGCTGAAACCTGATACAGTAAACACTTTGATAGCCTAGCATGTGGGGTGGGAGGCAAAGAGCAAAGGCTCTTTCAAGCCTGTGCTAACTATTGACTGTTCTGTTATTAACTTGAGGCAATTTGAAGGGGGAGGTCAGGGGCTTTGACTGCTCTGATATTAAAGAAGAGAAAGAGGCCACAGTATTGACCGGCGATGACGCTGCTTGCAGATAAAATCTGTCCATTTTGTCTGCAGAGCCTTAATGTAACTTCAGTGGCCTGACTTCACCGAAGCTTAAGTCTGATTTATGAGCTACAGCTTTTTCCACTCTGATCCCTCAGAGCTTGAACTTTGTTGTTCAACAACACCCCCTCACGAACATGGGGGAAAAGGTCACATCTCTCCCATTCCCATACATGGAAGTGCAGGGCCTACCATGATTTTATGCCAATTCCACTAAGCCCCAATCTTCTGAGCATGCTCAGATTGCTCACTCGCATTGACACATGAGAAAGGGCTCTCAGATGCAGTGTAACTTCCTTACAGTCCATCAGTCTTAAAGAAAACATGTTTGTCTCACTTCTACCAGAATTTTACAACAACCATTTTCTAGACCTAGCATCGTGATAGCTGCAGCCTGTTCTCTTGTTCTGTAGCCATCTCCATATTAACCCTCAATTTGATACATATTCTTAAATATGCTCAGGCAAAAGGGGCACCCCCCCATATAGTTCTATCTATTTTATCTAGCAATAAATGTAGACTTTTTAGCTTTTGCCATGTGTGAAAAAGGCATCAC